TGATTGAATGATGATGATATTATTCTGTATGTACAGCAATTTTAACAATTATGTGTAGCAACAAAAAATAAAACAAAAAAACAATAAAATAACACTAATTTCATCAACAGTACCAACATCAATAATAATTACTATAATATATTACACATATACACATTTCTTATTAATAATTTTCGCACTACCAATTTTTAATATAAAAATGATTCTAATGTACAGTACATGTATCAATTCCTCTTGATTCCGATTGTCAGTATTTTACTAACAGTATAATGATGCTATGGTAGACTCCTCGAAGTTTCAATTGCATAAATAGTTCCGTGAAATCCTCGACATATTAATGAGAACTCGGATACTTTATGTCTGAGGGTTTCTTTGTCTCCACGGGCTCTTAGAACCGATTGCATGAATACTTGCTTCTCCAAAGAGCTGGCTTGGACTGTTGGGAAACCTTGCTTTGATAGTAGTACCTAATAATAGAACAGAGACGTTACTATTTTTAGAATAGGGATTTTTACCTGATTTTTTGAGCAACTTTAAACATTCATAAAAATTCAATTTCGATCAGAATTAGCTCAAACTTTCTACGCAATATAAGTACATGTATATGTATCAGAAAAATTATTAAAATGGAGATATCTCTACTTTTCAACTTTGGCAAAATTTGGACTAAGACATGATTGGACTTGCATGATTTATGTCACTATTAATAGAACTTGTAACTAAAAATAGACTCACTTGCAACCATGTGGATAACTCCGTCACACACTGAATGCTAAGCTGGTGCAGTATATTAACAAGTAAATCAAGGCGTGACCGGTCGACGCCCCCTGCCACGCCCCTCAATATAAACTCTACAAGTGAGAGGCCTTGTCTTGATATTATTTCTCTTACAAAGTCGAGTGTTGGTATGTGTTTAATGATGGACACCATTAGAGATGAAGCTGAGGACATTGATTGTTGCTCTGGTAACTGCAATGAAGCTAAACCTACAATAATAATAATAATAATAATAATAATAATAATAATAATAATAATAATAATAATAATAATAAACAAGAATACTGTCTTTGTTTTTTACAATAATTCTATCAACAAATGGTTTTTATAATTAAAAATAATAATAATTAATAATGATAATAATAATAATAATAAATAATTACGTAAATGTACTAGCTGTAACTACTTTTAAAAATTAATTTGCCTATGATACAAGTATATCTGTTATATAATAAAATTAAATTACAAATTATAGTACAGTGTTAAAAGGATGAATCGTTTGTACAGTACTTACAAATGTTAAAAGCATTATTAGCCATACCCTCCATCTTCACCATCAAAACTGGACAAGTATCTATTATCTAATATAAATAAAATTAGGACAAAAAATATTCTATTGCTACATGACAATAAACTTATAGCTATGCATATATTGTATAGTGGGAAATTATTTAGGGAGAGTGTCTAACCTGCCTATATACTGTGATACCTCAGCGCGTATGTTTACATCCGTTTTTCGCAAGTATACAGAGTTAATCTCAGTAATCTTCAAATTTATGGGTGTGGCTGATAAAATGGCGCTTGAAGCATGCAGGCAACTTTAAGACTTATATCTCCACTCTGAGGATCATGTAGTGCGAGAAACAAGCAGGAGCAGACGGGAATATGTTCTTCTAATGGTGGGCTCTTTCTTATTTGCAGCCTTCTGACTTTGAATCAGTATAAGGACGCAAGAATGGCTACTTGGTGCTAATAACCATGCTATGTAAACTTACGCACAGTGGTATCACAGATTATAGGCGGGTTAGACACTCTCCCTAATTATCCACTCTTGATATA